AGGCTGAGGCGGAAGGATCTCTGCTAGTTGGAGGCCAGCCTGGGCTACATAGCAAGACTCTGTCTCAAATCAAATAAATAAACAGAAAAAGCAAAGGAAAAGCGTGCATGTGTCTTTCTCTACCGTCTCTGATGCTCCCCGAGCAGTACAACAGTACCTGGCAGGGCCAGCTGTCAAGACGGACGTGTGTGGAGCGGCAAGTGTCTCTAAGGAGGGTCAGCGTCTCCAGGCTGCTGGCGTGGCTGCCAGAGGCCCAGCTGTCGGTGCTGCGGCTCCCTGGCTGACGCCGAGCCCCCGTCCCTGGCCAGGAGGAGCCCCGGAGTGCATCCCGCCCAGGGACATCTAGGGCAGCAGTAAGCAGCCAGGAAAGGAAGAGAGAAGCCAGGTGACCTGCGAGAGTTTACAGAGGGGGAACTCACAAAGGCAAGAGACCTGTAGGACGTGAAAAGTGTCTCATCTGAGCAAGCAGAACTCGACCCAGGCAGCCCACCTCTGTCCCTAGGACTCTCTACCAGGGGCCAGGCGGGCTCCTCTGGCTGCCGTGTGTGTGTGTTGGGGGGGTTCTCAGGTGTCCCCCAAGTCATGTAGTCGGAAGGGGCTGGATCACAGGGTGCTGCGCCCACTGTGGGTCCACCATGAGCGACTCTGTAGCTGAACGTGCTGTTAGGTGGTGGCCTGGCCCCGGAGGCCATGACCTGAAGGGTGCTCCTTGTCCCTGGCTCTTCCTTCCCCTGCTGGCCGCCGCGCCTGGATGCCTTTTCCTTGGCTGTGCCCCTGGGCCATACTGTTTCTGCTTTCCAGCCAGCTGACCCTGGACTGCAACCAGGAACCGAAATAAACTTCTCTTCCTTTCAGCTGCAGGAGTCAGGTCCCCTGTGCCAACAACAGGAAACTGACCAACACGGATTTGGTTACCAGGATTGAGGTCATTCCTGGGACTGTACCTGACCGTGTGACTCCAAAGCCTTTGGCACTGGCTTGTGGGAGGAGTTTGGAGAGGTTTGGAGATGCTGGCTGAAGAAACCCTAGGATGCGGTGAGCTGAGTGTGGTAGGTGATTCTGGCTGGAGTTTGAACACTAGAATGCTGGTGGGAGTAAAGGCCGGGCTCAGGAGGTTTCAGATGGGCACAAAGACTACATCGGAAACTAGACTAGAAGCCACACATGTTACATGCTAGCGGGGAACTTCTCTACATTTTGCCCATGTCCTATGACTTTGCATGAAGCTCAGTTGAAGGAATTGATCAGGTGCAGGAAATTCCCAAGAAGCCCAATGTGCAGGCTGTGGTATGGGTATTGCTGGGTGCTTTTAAGCCAGATCTACAGTGAGCAAAAAATCCAAGTTAAATGATTTGAGAAAAAAAGCTTGGTCAGAAAGGAAGCACCTGCAAAGTCGGGGCCATGGAAGAGGAGGGTACTGAAGGATTAGCATTAAAAATAGGCCATGTACTTTGTATTAGGACAATAAGAAAGATGGCTTGAGGGCATCTCAGGAACCAGAAAACCTCACCTATGGCATGTTCAAAGATGCCTGACTGTGAACTTTTCCTTCAAGAGGAGAGCCCCAAAGAGTCCAGCTCATTCAGAGTTACCTAGAAAAGTTCCCTGGAGTTCAGCCATCCAGGCACTCGGAGGCCACTGCAGGCATGGTCCAAGGGGCCCAGCTACTGCTTCCACTGGCAGCAAACCTTGGCATCATTCACATGGTCCTGATCTTTCAGGCATGCAAAAGGCAAGAGTTTGGGGGTCATGGAGGCTTCTGCTCAGATTTCAGAAGCCTGGGGAAGCCGGGCTGCTTCCCCAACAGGGCAGTATGTGAAGCTGTGAGAGTGAAGCCAAAGGCGCAGTGGAGACCCCAGGAAGGAGGAGATGCCAGGGATGTGGATCATCTGCTAAGGAAAGCTGCAGGCAGTGATGGAGCCAGCCCAAGAGAGGCCATAAGGCAGGCAACCGGCAATGTCCTGGGGCCAGGGCTACCCAAGCCCTTTGGAGCTCACTCCTTACCACTGCTGCCCAGGGTGCTGCCCACAAAGCTGCAGGATTTAATGTCTTTTCTGCTAGGATTCACTCATCCTTTGGTGTGATTCCTTTCTATCTTCCTGTTCTTCCCTTTGGGAATGAGAATGCTTACCCAGTGCACTGTATGGGTAGAGTTTAAGTTTTCTTTTAACAGGGCCTCACAGCTAAGAGTGTGCCCTAAGTCTCCGAGGAGACTTTGGACTTGGACCTCTCAGCAGTGCTGGAACTGTTAAGACTTTGACAGCTCTCAGAGATGAACTAAATGCCTTTTGTCTAATGAGGTACATGCGAGACTTTTGAGGGCCAGGGGTGGAATGTTACAGTGTAGGTCCTCAGTGTCCTCCAAGGTCTCATGTGCGTGGAAGGTGACTGGATCCCTCGTCTGCGGATTCACCCATGGAGGAGTTCTCCAGTAGATGTGCACTTGGGTGGTGCGGGCTGCTTGCCGGTGGTAGTGGAAGGCTGTGTCCTTGTCCCCAGCCCTGCCCCTCTCTGCTTCCTGGCTGTTATGACATAAGCACCCTTCCACCATGCCTTTTCTGCCTTGGAGCCAGCCAACCATGGACCGAACCCACTGAAATTGTGAGTGAAAAGAAACTCTTCTGTCCTGTTGTGGGTGTCAGGATATTTTCTCCAAAAGTGATGAGAAAGACACTGAGATCCAGGGTGCACAGTACTGAGGGGAGCAGGGCAGGTATGGGCTGAGGTGTGGGGTGAGGAGGAACCGGTGGGATAAGAGTGCTCCAAAGCAAGAGTGCTCTGGGCAGTGGGGACCCGAGGCGTTGGGGAGGGAGTTGGGGACGGGGCTGGCGAGGGGATGGCGGGAACCCGGCCCTTCTCCCTCCCTCCCTCTCTCTCCCTCCTCCCAGCCTTCCAGGCAGCATGAGGGAGGCAGGTGCCCCCCGCCGCTCTCCCTCCCACCCTTGCCTGCTTCGCCCTGCCTCCGCTGCTGCTGTCAGCTGCCCCTACTGCTGGTGGCTCTTTCCCTGCCCGGCCTCTGTGTCACCCGAGGACGCCGCACACTTGGCCACCAGCCTGCACAGCTGTTGCACCGGGCGCTGAGCCCTTCCTGGCTGCGGGCGCCTGCTTGGCCCGACTCCTGTTGGGTCACATGGGCTCCAGGTGCTATGCCGCCACTGCCAAGGGGCTGGAGTGGGTCAGGGTGGTTGGTCAGGGTGGCGGCCACACTATCCTAGGTACAAGGCAGAGCGGATCCCAAACAGCAACGAGCTCTGTGTCCACGTTGTCATCAGGAGCATACTGTCCTCAGCCGGACATGGTGGCGCAACCCGCCATCCCTGAACTTAGGAGGCTGAGGCAGGAAGATCACTGAGAGTTCCAGGCCAGCCTGCACTACATAGCGAGACCGTGTCTCAAAACAGCGATGATAAGGATGGTGATGACGATGATGATAGGAGAAATATTGTCCTTTTAGTTCTGAGACGGAGTTCTGCTAAGCTGCCCAGGTTAGGCTGCAACTTGGGATCTTCCTGCCTCAGCCTCCAAGAGTGCAGGGATCACGGTGTGCGTCACCAGGCAGTGTGGGAAGTCGTGCTTCTTAGGCTGCTGGGCTATGTCTCAGGGGGGCCATGGACGGCCACGTGGCCACCCAGGTGCACACTGCCCACACACAGGGCTTTCGGCGAGAAGGTCGTGGAGGAGGCGTCCTGGGATTTTCCGTCGGCCTCAGCCCTGTCCGGCCAGCAGCGTTCAGTACATTCAGAACAGGGTTGCGTCCTTGCGCTGAACACAGGCCACAGTGGGGACAGCACCTCGGCTGGGAGCCGCCAGCCCAGGGCCACTTAGAGCAACTCGTGTTACGAAAGCGCGCTCCCTGCCCACGGGAAATAGGTCAGTGCAGAGCGCTGGGAGCAGGACCTGTGCCATGCAGGGGACCAGACTGTCTCAGTTTTTCCTCTCTGCTTTTTTTTTTTTGTCTTGAGACAGATTCTCACTGGGTAGCCTCAAACTGTCGGAGCTCTTCCTGCCTCAGCCTCCCAAGTGTTGAGATGACAGACGTGACCTGCCATGCCCAGCTTTTCCGTTTTCTCCTCGACAGGAGATTTCAGCTGGAGGTCACCTTAAGACTTTTATGACTTGGAGAAGGGTGTGGGGTTTGCCAGGGCTTCCACACGCAGAGCCCTGGGATTCTTCTGTTCGCCCTGGGCCGCGTCGTACCAGGCACACAGGCTGGCCTCAGGGCCACCTGCTCCAGGGCCAGCAGTGGCAGTAGTGACATGACAGGTGCCTGGAGGTGATGCACCCTGCTGCTGTCACGGAGCTGTCACTCTCACAGCTTGCACGGACGGGAGCCGTCTCTGACCTGAGTGGGTCAGGGACCACGGAGGAACAGCAGCTGCCCGGGCACCCGGGCACCCATCCGGTCTGAGGAGGACAAGCAAGCGCCTTGTGTAGCCGGCCACGCCCAGCCTGCAATCCTGGAAGCCACCCTGGAGGCACAGGCCCGCTCAGGGCCCCAAGAGGCCCATGTCTCAGAAAAAAGCTGTTTTACCCTCAGGATTTGCAGCATGACCTCACCTAGGTTGGGTTGCTGGGTTCTAGGATGTTGCTGGTTAAAAGGTCACCCGTGCTGGGAGTGCAGGGAGACCCCACCACGCCTATAATCCCAGCCCTGGGGAGGCTGAGGCAGGAGGATCACAGCAAGTGTGGGCCAGCCTGGAACATGACTTGGTGAGTGGGCCATGCTTAGGTGCGTGCTGGGCCCCAGGTGGCAGAGGACACAGGGTTCCATGTCTCTGCAGGGCTGGGAGGGAGTTGCACACCACATGCAGAGCTGCAGGCTGGGCAGGCTGGAGCCGGGGCAGGCTGTGCGGTCAGGCAGGGCAGCGTGGGGAGCCCTGGGCCGGCTGGAGCCGCAGGAAGTGGCTTCTGTGACTGCAGAGGCTAGGCGGCACAGCTCCTGTGAGTCACAGCGGGGGTGGGGTGGGGTGTGTGTGCGCCCGGCCCATGCTCCACCCGGATAGAAGTGTCAGTCTGCAGCGCTGCGCCTGTCACCCCAGCTCCCAGGGGAGGCTGAGGCAGGAGGATCACTGCCAGCTTGAAGCCAGCCTGGGCCACACAGCGAGACCCTGGCTCCAAACGCCAAAACAAAAGGACAGGAGACCGACATTCCCTTGGGGTTTCGAAATGAGGCCCCCACCGGCCGTTTCCTCAGCCTCTGATGGGAGTAGGGAAGCAAGCAGGGAATTTGCTGGGCTCTGAAGCCCGGCGCTCGCTCCCCTACGTGGCCGCCCGGGCTTCGCTGCGCCCCGAAGGCACCGCGGGAGCTCGGCCATGCGGCCGCACAGGTGCTTGGCCCGGGTCCCGGGAGCCGAGGCGGCTCCAGCCCGCGCTGCAGGACCAGGGCCCCGGGGGCGGCTCGCCCCTCCGCCGGGCGGACCGCGGCCCCGGGAGGAAACGCTGCGGCTTCTCAGATGCCCGCCGCGCCCAGGCCGAAAGTCAGGGACAGTCACCCGGAACCCTCGACCAGCCGCCCGTGTTTTCCACTGGAGCCCCGGCCCGCGCGCAGACGGCATCAGCGAAGAATGAGCTCTTGGCAGGGGAACGGTCCGCTCGAGACGCTCCTGTGTTTTGTTTTGATTTTGCCTTAGCGACTGCAGCCTGGATTCGGTCCGCAGAGCCCGAGGCCAAATTTTCATCTGGTTTTCTGGGGCTTGGACCGAACACCTGCAGCGGGGCTAGGACACACATCGCTGGCAACACGCGCGCGCACACGGACACACACCCCGAAAGGCCCAGGGTACGTTCCGGTCACTTGCAAGCTTCTCTTCCCTCACTATTTACTCCCAAAGTCATAAGCTGTTTTAAAAAACTTGTTATTTTTAAATTTTCTTTTCCTCTTGCTTTTTGAGACAGGGTCTCGCTATACAGTTCAGGCTGGCCTCCAGCTCACTGTGTAGCTCAGCAAGCAATCTTCTTGCCTCACCCTCCCAAGTGCAGGGATTATAGGTGTGCGCTGCCACCCCCGGGTTTAAAATTATTATTATTTCATATGGAACCGTTCCCTACCTCAAACCAAGTTACATGAACTTTGTCTAATATGCCGGTTGGTGTACTCCAGACCCGCACCATAATGAAGCTGGGTGTGATGGGGCACACCTGCAATCCCAGAACTCTGGGAGGCTGAGGCAGGAGGATTACAACATCAAGCCCAGCCCAGGCAATTTAGCAATTTAGAAAGACCTTCTCTCACACGTCTCAGGCGAAGAAGCACAACTGACCAATAAATACTGAAGAAATGCTCGTCATTGCTGGCTATGCGAGAGATGAGGATGCAGACGGTGCTGAGATTCCATCTCACCCAGAAAGAATGGGGTCATCAAGAAGTCAACCCATAACAAACGCAGGCGAGGGTGCAGGGCAGAGGGGGAGGGAGCCTTTCTGCGGGTTTGGCGGGATTGTAATTTGGTACAACCGCCGTGGAAAGCAGTGTCGAGAGCCCTGAAAAAATTAAAAATAGAAATTCCATTTGACTCAGCTGTTCCCCTTCTAGGTACCTTCCCAAAAGAGTTAAGGTCACTATATCACAGTGACACACGCTCATCCCTGCCTTTTGCAGCACAGCTCATAAAGGCTAAAGCTCGGAAGCTGCCTGCGTGTCCATCAGCAGATGAATGGCTAAGAGAATGTGGTAGCTGCACACCACGGAGTACTACTCTGCCATAAAGAAGGATGATCTTGAGGCATTTGTAGGAAGATGGTTCCACCTTGCTCGAGCCATAATGCTAAGTGAAAGAAATTGGACACACAAGCTTAAATATCACACGTTTTCTCTTTTGTGAGAAACTCAATATATAAATAAAGTGCAAAATAAAAGAGACACAATAAGAAAAAAGACAGAAAAAAAAAAAGTTATTGTAACCCAGCATGGACAACATACCCAGAGTGTGCTTTGCATTAGTATAATTGTATTGTGTGGGTTTGTATTTTGTGGGTTTGTAATTGCATTTTGTGCGTTTGTTTGTTTATCTATTTATTTATCTTTTTGAGACAGGACCTCACTATGATGTTCAGGCTGGCCTTGAACTCACTTTGTAGCCCAGGCTGGCCTCACACTTGGAACGATCCTCCTGCCTCAGCCTCCCGAGTGCTGAGATTACAGACATGTGCTACCACACCCGGCAATCCTGAGCTTTTGCAAAAGGAAGGGGACCCAAAATGCAGGAGAGGAAGAGAAAAGACTGAAGATGTCCCTGAGTACCCTGTACCTCCCCACCAGGAAGGTAATCATTGTGTGTGCCGAGGCCTGCATAGTTAGGAGGAGCTTCGCATCCAAGAGGGGTCACTCGCCAGGCTCCGTGGCCCATGCCTGTGATCCTAGATTCTCCAAGCTGCGATGGAGGGTCAAAACCTCAAGGCCAGCTTGGACAACTTGAAGAGACCATGTTTCCAAACAAAATTTAGGCTGTAAATGGGGGTATACACCTTAAAATTCCAGCTCTTGGGAGGCTGAAGCAGGAGGATCCCCAAGAGTTCAAGGCCCGCCTGAACTACAAAGCGAGACCCTGTCTCAAAGAGATTTTTTAAAATGAATTTTTATCAACTCATCTTTGTAGCACATAATAACTACATTCATTAAAGAATTGGTACCTTGCTGGGCATGGTGGCGCATGCCTATAATCTCAGCACTCGGGAGGCTGAGGCAGGAGGATTGTTGTGAGTTCGAGACCAGCCTGGGCTACAAAGTGAGCTCAAGGCCAGCCTGAACTGCATAATAAGACCTTGTCTCAAAAAAGACAAAAACAAACAAACAAACAAAAAACAACAAAAAAAAGAATTGGTACCTGTACATAACACATCTCGATGCTTTATTTTTCCTTTCCCCTTCAACCCCCTTTTTTGCCAGCATCAGATTCACTTATTTATCCTATAAATTCTTATAAGTTAATCATCATAGCACAGCGTAACAGCCAGATTAACAGGCCGGAAAACACATGAAACATAGTCTCGCTATGGAGTTCGGGGTGACCTCAAACTCACTATGTAGCCCAGGCTGGCCTCAAACTCGTGGTGATCCTCCTGCCTCAGCCTCCCAAGGACTTATGTTGTAAGCCTTACCTGGAGATTAGTTCCCACATCCATTCATTCTGTGAACGCTCCTTGGCTACCTCCTCTCCCTCTGTACCTGTCAGTGTCCTGGACACATAAATAACAATTGCACCGACCTTCAGAATGACAGCTTGGGACAAGTGCTGGTCATAGTCTGTTGAGAAAGGTGTCCAAGCCCACCAAGAACTACCTTTCTGTTTGGGGTCGCATGCAGCTAATCTACCCTGAAATCTACAACTGCAACAGGGGTGGGTCGCTGGTCACGCTGGCACTCAGGAGGCTGAGGCAGGAGGATTGCTGGGAGTTGGAGACCAGCCTGGGCTACATAGAGAGACAAGTCTCCAAAAAACCAAACCAAACAAACAAAAACAAGCGATGCTAGGGTCCCCTAACTTAGGACTGGTGCCCCCTTGCCCAGAGGCAGGACTTCCGCCTAGGGGCCTAGCCAGGGAGGGCAGCCTGGCTTCTGTTCCACTTTACTGTTTGTGTGTGGCCTCCGCGGGCAGTCCAGTTACTGGAAGCTCCGCCCCCGCCGCTTCCTCACAGGCCCGGGCGGCCCTGCGGCTCCCGGCTCCCGGCTCCTGGCAGCGCGCAGCAGCCGCGTTTCTGCCCCGCAGCCTGGCCGCTCAGCTGTTCCAGACACGGCGGGCGGTGGCCCGGGCGCTGGCTCTCCCGCTGCGATTGTGCAATGCCTTTTCAGTCTGTCTGCCTCGGGAAGGAGGACGCGACGCCAGCAAGCACGGAGCGGTGCCCGAGAGACCGCAAACAGCCGGGCTCGGGCGCGCGCCTGTCAGCCCAGCACGCAGGAGGCTGAGGCGGGACGGTGGGCCGATCGCACCGAGCCCCGGGCAAGCCTGGGCTGCATAGCTTGATCCTGCCTCAGAAATCCAAATTTAGATAAAAATGAAATGGCCCTAAGCACTGAAGCAGTAAGATCATTCTCGCAATGACAAGCTCGGGAACAGTTTTCTCCAATGAAAAGTGTGCTTGGGTCGTTGTGAGGAGCGGATTAGAATTAGTCTGTCTTGGTCATTAATTTCGTAAACATAAGCTGGTGAGCTTTTTCGTGGTTCTCGATATTTTGTTTTGAGACAGGGTCTCACTATGTAGTCCAAGGCTGGTCTGGAACTCACAGCGACCCTCCTGCCTCAGCCTCACTGGTGCAGGGGTCACAGGCGAGCGGCACCACGCCCAGTCCGCACCCTTTTGCTAGAGAGGCTGTGGGTTGGGGCGAGTCCCCTGATGGGGCCCAACAGCAAGGCAGTCTCAGGAACCACACATCCCAGGTCACAAGGCTGAGCCCAGGCCGCTGATGAGACCTTCTGAGAAATCAGGATTTGGGTCAGAACGAGGGTGCTTCCCTATCAGGCCCACTTCAGTGGATGAGATTGTGAAGTCACTCCACAAACAAAGTAAACAGAATCATCTGGTGTTAACCAACCGGTTTTCTCTGCCTCTGTCTCCACCTCACCTACAAGAAGAGGAACTTTAAAAAGACCAAGGGTTTGGGTCTCTGGTTCCTTCCGCCAGTCTCTGTCTACAAGCACGATCTTTCCTGCCTGAGGCCAGAACACTTACTGACCTCTCTGCTGGAAGTGTGGCTCATCCCAGAACAGAAATAAAGCAATTATGTTCATTAAAATAAATTCTTGGGATTCTGTCCTACTAGCGTGTAAAGGAAGAAACCAAAACTGTTTCCTTCCAAACACAACAGGATCCTCCTGCCTCAGCCTCTCAGATACTGTGAGAATTTTGAGGTGTGTTTTCCTAGACTGTATGCAGTGGTGGTGGTGACGGAACTGGGGATTGAATCCAGGACCTCGGCCTTGAGCCTTTCAAAATTGCTAATTAAAAAAAAATTGCTTATTATTTTTAGACTGGGTCTTGCTAAATCCTTAAATTGCCTAGATTGAGCTTGAATTTGCTACTCTACTGCCTCGGCCTCCTGAGTGCAGGATCACAGGCCTGGGGAGAGACCTGCAGCCGGCTGCAGAGGTCAAACGAGGCCCCGTGTGTCCTCTGGACGTGGCAGAGGCTCAGCCTTTAAAAGCAGCGTTGGAGCCGGGGATGACTATAATTATGAAAAACAACCATGAGCAGGGATTGTTGTTGTGTTTGCTCATTTCTGCTGTGGGTCTAAACTGCTGCTTGAGAGGGTATAATCACAGGTTGTGTAATAGCACGTCACACCCAGCACTCAGTGTCATAAATGTCTGAGTCAGGCAAGGTAGAGCATGCCTATCATCCCAGCCCTCGGAAGGCTGAGGCAGGAGGATCACTGTGAGTTCCAGCCAGCCAGGGCTCCATAGTGAGCTCAAGGCCAGCCTGCACTACCTGCGGAGACCCTGTCTCAAAGAGACCAAAAAATAAAATAATAACAAGACAGGCTTGCTGGTGCACCCTTGCAATCCCAGCATGTGGGAGGCTGAGGCAGGAGGATCACTTTGAGTTTGTGCCAGCCTGGGCTACATAGCGAGACCCAGTCTCAAAACAAAACAAAACCCCAGATAGGACCGGCACAGGAAATGCCTCTGCATACAGTCCTCACACTCAGAGTCCATTTCCAGGTCCCGGCAAAAGGCAGCGAAGCTCCGCCTGAGGCTGCATAGGACACAGGGGTAAGGTTACTCCTGGGGCACAGCACCTGCCAATTTCAATTTGGGTTTTTTTGAAATGAGGTTTGGCTATGTTGCTGGCCCCCAGCTCCGGGGCTCTAGTAATCTTCCTGCCTCAGCCTCCTCAGTGGCTGGGAGTACAAACCCCTGTCATGGCTCACAGCCTTTTCCTAAGACTTTCTGTCTGAGTGGGGGCGGATCATCCCAGGCCATGCAGCTGTGCCTGAGGCGTTTCTTGTTACTTGGAGAATTCTTTCTCTTCCCGAAGGGGCAGGGTTTTCTTGCTTTGTTTTTCTTGAGTACTGGGGATTGGACACCTGCCCTTGCCCTGAGCTCTGTCTCCAGCCCTTTTTGATTGTTTATTTTGAGACCTGGTCTTGCTAAATTCCTCAGGCTGTGTTTAGACCTGCAATCCTCCTGCCTCAGCCTCCCTGAGCTCTGGAATCACTGGTGTGCGCCGCCATGGCTACACGGCCATCCTGAGAACCAGCCCCGGGTGCTGAGATACTCATCACCCACCCACGTGGGATGTCCCTCATTAGGACCTGCCGCGTCCCAGGCAGAGGGCGACAGGGCCTTAGGGACGGGGCACCCAGCATGGCTGGTACTGCGTACATCCAGTTAGCTCCAGCCGTGTCTGCAGTCTTAGGATAATTTCATCACCATACAGCAGACTGGACAAACTGCAAAGACTGCCTTTCCATTAACAATCACCAAATCTCTCTTTGTTTGTTTGTTTGTTTGAGCCAGGGTCTTGCCAGGCCAGCTGGACTTGAACTCATGGAGATCCTCTTGCCTCAGCCTCCCAGCATGCTGCCGTTACAGATGCACACCACCATGCCCAGCGACTCTGTCCTCTCATTTTTTTTAAAACAGGGTCCCACTATGTAGTCCAGGCTGGCCTTGAACTTGAAGCAATCCTGCCTCAGCCTCTGGAGGGCTGAACTTACAGGTTGCAACCCCAGCCAGCAGCTAAGCCCTCCCAGCACACTGAACACCGTGGACTCTGCTGCTCCAAGTCCTGGGCTGCACTGTAGCGCGTGCCCCGGGCCTGGG